CTACAAAAGTTAGCTCATTTCCGGTGCTCTCTACTGGGAATGTCAAGAAAAGGCAAAAAAAGTTCACGGCGAACACCATGACACGAGGCGCTTCTGTACTTCGAACTCGGCTGCTTTTGAAAGCAATTTCGTTCGGACAGTTTACCTATTGTCCTATGAACACAAAGAAGTAAAAAATGCAGGAATGCAAAGTTCTGTCAACTAGGGGGTTCGCATCACCGGCCTATTCATCACACTACCTTTGGCTCCACACGAAGGTGCAGCTAAAAGGAGCTGCACTTTTGTGGTCTACCTATCAACATCTATAACAGGCAACAAACCTTATTGAAAAGCAGGCTCCACGACCTGCGCATTCTTGCTCTCTGTCTCCCCCGTAGGATGGCCTATGAGTAACATGGAGCCCATGTGGGATTGTCCGTCCATGGGATTAGAGAGGAATGTGCCTTCAAACAGCGATAGTGATACAATGAAAGGATCCTGCACGTCTGAATCAAGTGAAGCTGCCAAGCGCAGAAGCATAGTTCTTGTGTAGAGCCAGTAACCTCGGCACTAATTTAGTCGGGAGGTAGGGAGAGGAGGTAGGGATCACTGCTCCGTAGAGGCAGCACCTCTGTGTCCTTCCCCTAACCAGAGCTTAGGCTTATAGCGCCGACAAGCAGAGTGGCAGCGCTTGTTCAGTTTTGTGCGTAGTCTCCAGTAAGCCTATGCCACTGTTTGACTGAAGAGCATAGGTGCGCTGAGGAGTGGTCTCCCACCTATATCACTACCGAAGTCTCCCTTTTCAAGTAAGAGACTCTACCTGGTTAAATTGTGACCCGGAGTAAAAATGTGTCTTCGGGATAGGTCAACCTTTTTGGTGTGAATATTACATTTGATCAAAGCGAAGTTCAGACCATTAGATTTCTTGAGACGGCGCTTGAGACAGGTACATGATGTTTCATGGCATTTGACTGGTTTGTACCTCAGTGACTCTGTTCAGGAGCCATGAACAGGCCATGCAGTGTCTGCAGAAGGCAAAATTCTGCGATACGCACAACTTGTTCAAGACGGCCAGCAGCAGTGTGACGAAGATGTGCGGTGAACGAAGGGCTGTTCTCGAGAAAATGAAGCCGTGCCTCGCCAAATTCGGGGATGCTACTGCTCAGTGTTCGTTTCTGCATATGCTATTATTTATAGAGTTGCTATCAATATACCCAGTGGTTCTCTAGTCAATTGCTGCTTGTTATAGTGTGCGACAACAGGTGTCATGGTCGCGCCAACGTGACAGCATTCCTCAACAAGCCGGCTATCATCAGAGCAGCCAAGATGGGTGGCAATATCATAGCCGTAAACGACAATCTCGGAAGCCTGTGCAGGTTCGTTATCCTTATGAACTTTACCTGAGAGTGTAATCAGTTGATATCGTCGCAATCAGCCGGGGCTGTGTCAGGAGGGCGGAGTAAGCCCACCTGCTGCTCAACTAATCTGGCAAAGAGGGTCGACTAGTGATCGATTCAGGAAGAAAACAACCAGCGGTAAAAGCGTTCGGGAGGGCTCACGCTTCCCCTCTCGACACCGCCCCGACTGGCTGCAACTACAGGGGGCCAAAAAAAGTCACTTCGACCGAGTCACATATCAGCAAAGTTTTCGCTGCCCAGACAGAGGACGTGGATACGAGTACCAGGGCGGAAGATACCCAAGATGTTCCTCTATAAGCAGGAGCTGGCTCTCGCCCATCACCTTCATGTACACCAAAATATGAAGTCATCTCCAGTCGCAGCCTGACTGGAGAAGACCTTTGGAATTCATGTCACCTCCAAACAGCTGCGAAACTTCTAGTATGGACACCCATGGATAGCTACCTGGAGACCAGTACTCTCGATCTGGAAGACCTCCAACATCGAGCAGCTCCGACAACGTCGCTACGGTCTAGGACATCATCTTCACCGCAGTCGCCAAGGCGCGGGTTGATGGTATGGACCGGACGTACCTGGAATGGAAAGACCAATATTTTCTTCGTGGACCCCGGACTGAAGGTGAGCGCTGGCGGTTACATCGAGCAACTCGAGAAGAATATCCTCCCTACATGTCGTCGCCCGTACCATCTTGGAAACTTTGTACTGCTGGTTTACAGTGGCGGAGAAATCAACTATCTCGCTGAACTCAGACACCGAATCGCGGTCGCGCGGCAGAATCTCTCGATGGCGCTCCTCCAGAAGTCTGTGAAATCATGGTTAGAAAAGAGTCCTCTGCGACTAAGACTCGCCGGGCCAAAACTCCCGTTGGACCACATGGACCATGTTCGAGCCGTATTAGGATGCCTTCTACCTTCACTATGCCCTATAGAATTCGGGTACTTGTGTGGCTCCAGATTAAGCGCAAAATGGTGATGTCAAGGAAGATCATTTTCTGCGCGCATGACACTCCATCCCAATCTTCTGAGAATCCAGTGAAATGAAGGCACATGAAAATTATTTAGATTACCTCATAGAGTGTATAACCCTTTATCAAAAATCGTAAAGGATACTGCATAATTTTTCACAGAGAACTTTATATCAGAAAAAACTGCCATCATCTGGGTCAACCTAATATTGAGCTAACCTATGCTGGTTACCGGTACTGATACATCGTACTAATATCGCTTGAGCTAATGATCGTTCGAAATTTGTCTGCTTTCAGCGCCTTCAACTGTATGCTACCATGCGCTACCGTGGAACTGAACAAAGTGTGTCCGCTTAGTGGATGGCTAACTTTGGTGAGTTGAATAGCCTCATTATTCATCACAGCTTCCTCATCGTTCCGCTAAACTAACGTTCTGTACCTCACAGGACATTCTCCTTACAACCAATGGAATCGGTCGCTGACCTTCTGCTGAAAGCGTCACCAACGATCAAGGACTTCGTTGCTAAGAAAATGGACAAGAGATGTCGTTTTGCTATACAGAAGAGTGAAATCATGAAAATGAGAAAAGGACAGTTCAATCATTAATCCATCAACTGCTGGTTTTAATTCATTACGTGGCTCCGAAACCTCTTAATGAGCCAAGGGTTTCTTTCACAACGTGCTTACCTGTGCCTATTTATGAGTGCTCATCATGTAAATTTCCTCCTTGACGATAAAAATTTCGACCGATTTTCAGTGTTGCATAATGCTGGTTATGCTGGTTAAGCCATGGTATTATAATCCTGCTTAATGTATGGAATCGTTTTCCTATGAAATCAGACTCTGTATCTGCTTGTGGAGTTGACGCTCGCCGTCATCTTTTCAGCGGCGAATTAGCCACAGAAATGTGCTTTGTTACGGAGACTGAAGGCTCCATACCTCCGTGAGCTGTTGAAATGTCCTCCTTCTTTCTCCGCTGGCATTCCGACAATGCAAGAGTACTGTCAGACGCTCCACTGCGAGTGAGACGGTGCTCCCGAAAAGCAGGCGGATGGCGCTGCTTCAATGCTCTATAGAGGCCAACTGCTGCCTTGATGTTTTCTAACACGGTTCCCTCCCCTTTTCCGTTTTTTTTTTCCTCCCCTTTTTCTCGCCCATCGCCACGTGCGGTACAGCATCCCTCTCCCTTCGCATTCAAGCAGCAGCTTGTGTGGAGGAAAAATTAGACGCTCTCCCCGAATTCGCGGAATAAGCGCTAAAAGTCGGTAGGGAACTGGAAAAACTCATTAAGATGGTAGGATGGTAGAGGAGGAGAGATCAAGCGGTCGTACCGGAGGAGGACATTTGGGGGGAACGTATGCAAATGCTTTCTCGGAGCGCCCTGTCAGAAATGGGCTCGGTTTGGCTTGAGAGGAAGGGGGAGGGCCACTCTGCACGCTTGCTAGTTTCCCTTCATAGTTTAAGCTGACTAATATGCTCGGGGCTAGGGCCTGTACAATCTATTCTGAGCTCCATTCGGTCTCAACAAGCTTAAACTGCGGCCGAAATTCCGTAGCCGTTGAAACGCCTGTTTCTCTAGTTTCTGGATCTAACTTCCAAATCCATCGTGGCCAACAATAAAGGCAAACTGGTCACTCAAGTCCGTGGATCAAGGTCCCAGCCATGTGCGAGGTGAATAGGTCCGCAGCTGTAATGGCCCTCAAAAGTGCGCGGTTATCAATCGGAAACCCGCTCGCTACCCTCACTTCTGCTTGTTCTCCATCGCTATGCGCATCTTCCCCTGGAGGGTTTCACCGACGCACGTGCAGGACTTTGACAATGGCGCGAGTTTTTTGGCTGATTATTTTTTTTTTTATTTTGTTTGAACCTTCAGCCCCACTTCCGCGCACTCTAGGAGCCAAAAGCGTTTGCGTTTATACAGTTGCCGACTCGTTCTAATCTCATTTCGCGAGGATGGCCCTCAGAAGTAAAAGTACAATTTGTCTTCAACTATGACGACATGGCCAAAAACCGGTTACTTTTCCCTGGGAGCGGTAGAACCAGCAGAAAGTTGTAAGGAATAATAGCTTCCTTGTTTTAAAGTCGCTTGAGGCTGGCGTCGTTGGTCGCTGCTACGAATGAGTGACTCAATATCAACGAAGTGATGTTTGCAAGAATCAGTTTTCGTATTCATCAAGCTGAGAAGGCGACCTGATCAGTGCTTCATGTAAGAGTAGCCCCTCAATCGTTTCAGAACGCTCGTGGTTACCGCATGCACGCCACTGTAAAGCGCGAAGCGCGCGAAATGATCGCGGAAGTCACTGCCTCAGGAACCGCTGCTAATGCGGGAGTGGAAAGCGACACGAATGGCTCTATTTGAGGAAATCAAGCGATTTTCAAGGTATTTGGAAGAACATGTGATAGCACCATATATCCCGTGTACAGAATGTCATTAAAATGAGCCATTTCACATTTTTTTTCCTTGTCAAAGCAAGACTGATATTCTATTCTGGACTGGACCCTCCTTAGCAAGCAGATTCTCAGCAGTGGGGTGGAGAATGCGCATGCAGTTCAACTGTAGAGGACTTGAAAAGGAGTCAGATTGGGCGTCAAATAAAATATCGAATTGGAATACATATGATGCTACTGAACGCTGTGAGCACAAAATGAATCTGAGCACCATTAACCATAGATAATGTTGTTTTTAGCCATCACGCAATGAAGCTGTACCCGCTGTATGTTCTAGAGTCTTGCAATAATCTGCGTCGCAAAGGTTGTTCAACTGCCGAAAGGTGATTTTGTTGCTTTATTCTGCGGACCGTAGAGCTTGTCTAACTTCGGCTAACACTATTAACCACTTTCACTCATGATCCTAGTTTAGTTTAGTCATTCTTGAAATGTAATACGGCAGCCCCTCGCATCCCAAAGAGGAACTGATCTACGGTGGTAGCTTCAATATTTTGGGCAGGTCTTGTGTCCATCCGCTGAGCAACTCTCAATCCTGCTTTTTCCAGAACGTGGCGACAGCGATGAGAAGAAACAGTCGATCTCGTTTCGAGACTTCCCTAGATTTTCTTCTTCACCAAAGAGAGTATTGCCGAGCTAAACAGTACCAGTACTGTTGTTTAAAGTGGGAGGAGGCCAATTTCAATGCCAAGTAAGAAAACTGAGGTGTCATCTTCGTTACGCGCAGAGCGCGACGATGTCAGCGACGAAGTAAGGGCATGCCTTATCGGAGTGTTTCTCTTCATAAACACTGTTATTTGCCTCGACTTTTGTAACTAGTTTGCCGGTAATTAATTCATGAGGATAAAAGGATAAAGTCTTCGCCGTTAATCAGTGTGGGATGCGGCACGCATTCTACTTCCATTCAGAATCGTAGTGGCTTATTGAATGCGATGTGGCCTATACAATGACTTGCGGGGCCAGCCGATGTACAAGTCAGTGTTTTATCCTCCCAGACGAATCTGGTACCAATTTACCGTCCCCGGAGGTAGAAGGCTTGGTTGGCCTGGGCGGGTGTCGACCCGGGATTCGAACCCGGCGCCGCGCGAGTGGTAAGCGCGCCACTTGTCACTACACTCACCATCCTCCGCCTACGTAATAATCATAATTCATTAAAATAATCCCATAAATGACTTTAATGGCACTGATATAAAATGACGCTGACATCTTTTGAAGGCTCATTGAGGTGTGATTGTGACGCACCAGCTATGTGGAGTTTAAAGGCAGTTGGCACGATAAATCGCTATACAGGTGTAGGATTTGTACAACTGCTCAACAGAATTCCGTGACCTCGGACAGGCGCTGCGTGAAGCCTTTTCCAAGGAGGTACCCCTATAACGCCCTATTGAGCAACAACTTTACGTCCCAAACGCCTTCCTTGCCCGCCCGCCCACAAACGGACGGACTGGCGTTTTCTGACCGCTCATTATTCATTTCGTTTGCTGAGGCAAATTATGAAGAAAAGGATTGGTATGAAACCGTGATGCTGCATGCATGCATGGGTACACATATGCAGCCGTATCTTCGGTAGCGAGAAGATGCCTACGGGAAACTCGTCCGAAATCGATTTACAAGTCACTGAGAACGGAGGCTTTTTCTTCGCCGGATTTTGACCGTTTTCCGTTCTTTCCGCCATTTCGTCCACAATATCGCGCCCTATCTAGCATTTAGGCTAAAGTAGGGGACATCGTGCCAACTGCCTTTAAGAGCTTTCTGAGCCACTCTTTCCTGGACATTTTCGCTTGGCGCTCCGAACGGCCCTTTTCTGATTTTGAGTAATCCTGAGGACTGGTGTGTTGGTTCACGGATGGCTATCAAAGGCACACATAAGTCTCTAAGACGAGAAGGATTGATACGGCTGGCGGCGACTGAATTTCGGCGCCCCTAGCAAGGCGCTGCGTAGCGCCTTATCGTCAAGGAGGGTACCCCTTAACAAGGCCGCCAATCAGCTGCGACATATACGATCTCGGAAACGCGCCCAACGCCCGTCCGCCCACAAATGGACGGCCGCACCTGATGGTCGTATTACTTCATTTGCGAAGTAAAATATGAAGCGAAGGGATTGATATGAAGCGGCCGGGTGCTGCATGGATATATGAATACACAAGTGCAGCCGTACTTACCCAGCGGTTAATCGCAATAAATGATGTCCACGGGAAAGCTCGTCGGATTTGCTTTTTTCAGTTAGTGAGAAAGAAGGCTTTACTTTTTTTCAAACATTTCACTCCGTATTTTCGCTATTTTCCCCACTGTGCAGCACCCTGCTAGCATTTTAGACCGAGTACCAAATTACCGTGCCAATTGCCTTTGAGCTCTCGTAATTATTCACTGGGTTTGCCAAGAAACCCACCAAGGGGGAGGGGGGGAAGAGATACAGCCGCCATCATTCGGCACACCACTTCAGGCAGCGCAATTTGTGACGTGTGAGTCAGGGGAATTTCTATACGGAAGATCACGTGGTCTCTATTCTTGTGCTTGTACTGCCTTAACCCAGTGAATCGCATTACTTTCTCACTTTGTTGGTTTGCTTAGGCTTATGAGCTGGCTGACCAGTGCTCGGGAAAGTTCAACATTGTACTATCATGCAACCTCAACTCATACCGCTGCTGACCCCGCCCGACATTATACAAGGAATCCCCTTGACCCTCATCACCGTAATCATGAAGATAAAGCCGTCATAGGGAGGTACGGGTGCGGCCTAGAGCTGTCTCCAGCTGCTAACTGGTGAATATATTCGGTTGCGTCTTACGTGTTTTCAGTAAATGGACATCATTTGTTGGTGCCAGTGTGTTTCCAACCTAAAATTACATTATGACATGAAGAATGATTCGACATGAATATGCTACTCTCTTGTGTTCCTTGCTGAAGTGAAGTCAAAATACCACCTGAGAAACTAAAGGTCCCATGGGTACAAATCGCATACTTCTGAAGATTTGGGAAAACCAGATTGATCAACGGCCAAAGAAAACGTTCCTGTTTCAGTCGACCAACATCAATCGCCTTTGGATGGACTAGAGGGGAGTGGCGACGGAACCGAACCGACTTTCTGGGTGCCTGGAGCCGAATATGGTACGATCCATTATTTGTTTTTACAAGATTCCACCTCATCAGTTTAACGAACT